TTTGCTGCCATGTAGTATGTCTGAAGGAGGCCAGCACACTTAAACTTTTGTTTTATGTTCTCACCAAGGTGCCTCATACAGAATCCGTGATGTGCTTGACGGTAAATAGTGGCAATCCCCTTCTTTATAGAGTTGTGCCTATCGGATATTATGCACAACTCGTCACTGTCAGGCACTATCGTACGTAACTGCTGAAAAAACCAAGTCCACGACTCGTCATTCTCAGAGTCAACCACACACCATGCAACAGGATATGTGTGATTCTCGCTGTCCTGTGCAGTGGCCACCAACAATGTACCTCCATACTTTCCCGTTAGAAAGCAACCATCAACAGCCAACACCTTTCTCATGTTTACAAAACCCCTTATAGCAGCACCATAAGCAACAAAAAAATATTTAAACATCATATTCCTGTCCCACTTCAAAGCCGTCTTGCTACCTTGGTTTGTCAACTCAAGCATATAACGGTACGCTTCTAATACTGCGTACCCGTGCTCCGGCGTGCCCCTCACAAAATCTTGTGCATGTTGTCTCCCTTTCCAGCATTTCCAGTAACTAACAGCACATCCCAACTCTGTGCGCACAAGTCTCTGAATGTCTTTAGGAGATGGACCTTTCCCTTCGACGAACCGACTTTTGACAAATTGTCCAATAACATCAGCGGACGCTTGTCGATGCTCACCTGAAATATGTCCCAAACCACATGTGTGCTCACGGGTATATGTGCTAAGAATAAACTTTTCCGACTCCGCCAACCTTCTACAATAAACCCGCCACTTGCAGTTTCGGTCACGACATGCAACCGTCACAGCCAATGAATTTGACTTTTTGGTGATGAACTCAAAATTACCTTTCACAGCAACAAGTTTTAGCTTCCTCACCACTTCCTCTTTGTTGTCAAATAAATACCCTATGCGCAAGTCCGATCCATCCGTAAAGACATGAGCTGATCCACTACTACCTCCAATTGCCCCCTTTGAACCTGCATAAACGACCATAGTGTTCTCTTCCTCACAATCTACGCCTTTTGCATAATCTGTATTTAAAGGAATCTCTACATCTGTGGGAACATCTACGGGGTCCTCCTCCTCAACATTTTCATTCTGCCCCCCATCACCAACCTCTTCTATAGTGTCCTCCTCACCACCCAATTGACCGTCTACTCTTGATTTTTCAGCTAACAAATCAATGGCCTCGTAGTTCAAATTACAACCAGGCAAATCTCCGCCTACATCCTCGTTATCCCCTTCCTTGGAACCAACTTCCAACGGTTTTTCTACATAAGAAACCCTTAAAATCGGCCTCGAACCACTATCGGCCATATCAATCATAAATAAGTTCACACTTTCATCCGACTTTAATACAGCAGGAGGTACCTTATAATTTTCAGGAGCTCTGCTTAAAACATACTTCACAACTATATCACTACGCGAGCAACTCAAATTACCTCTTCTAATTATTTCATCAATCAACTCATCAAAACTAACCTCTGTGCTCACAGCAATTGGTATAACTTCTTTGCTCTTCCCAATCCACTTCCACCTACTTTCTTCCTCCACCCACTCACCAAAATATTCAACACCCAAAACAACTTTTCCCATGTATAATAATAGCCAACTACCTGTAATGCAAGAAAAACAATATTCTTAAATGCTGTACTAAGGGTTCAAATATTTTAAAAAGAATCTGCACATTCGCATATTTGGTCTGATGTATCGCTTGAACGATCATGGTTATTTATACTGGATCGCTTAAGCGATACACTTGATCGCTTAAGCGATCCAGTATAAATAACCATGATCGCTTAAGCGATCTTATGCCATTTACTGATCGCTTAAGCGATCTGCTCCCATACAACAGACTTTAACCAGATCGCTTAAGCGATCTTATGCCACATACCTGATCGCTTAAGCGATCTATCTGCTGCATTACCAGACCTACCAGATCGCTTAAGCGATACACCAGATCGCTTAAGCGATCCATCGTACCCAGAACACATTTTCAGTCATCTCCACCTACAATCGATCCATCATACCCAGAATAAATACCCAGAACAAATTTTCAACAAATTTCACTCCTTTCAACTTGCATTACATCAAACACAACCCAACAACCTAAACAACTAAATCAAAATCATAACCCAAACCCCATCCATTATTAAATCTTTGTAAATCTAAATATAAAATGTAAAAAGGATATACACATACTTACACGAAATGTCAGGAGGAGGAGGAGGGGGATCTTTGCCGGAGAAGATGTTAATGGTGGAGGAAGAAGAAGTGTTAATGGCGGAGGAACAAGAAGATATAGAGGAATGAGGAAGAAGAAGATGTACAGGAAGGAGGAAGAAGAAGAAGATGCAGAGGAAGAAGAAGATGTAGACGAAGCTAAGAAGAAGAGAAGAAGATGCAGAGGTAGAGATGCGTTAATGGCGGGAGGAAGAAGAAGGGTGCTTGGGTTTGTTTGCAATAATTTCGGGTTTGTGGGAATATAGTATAATTTTGAAAAGATTACATAATACTTCTTTAATCATAATTAAGCACTAATCAAGTTTAATTACCCTTAATCAATAATATGACTATTTACTTAAAACTTTAAAACTTGATAGCTTTTTAATTAAATTAAAACTTGAGAGGTTGTTTTAATAAACTCCCCCTCTATAATATCAATTACATATGAATATAAGAAAGGAAGAATACCGAGAAAATTTAGCTGCTCGGCCATCCCAAGTTTCGATTTAAGAAAATGGCTTTGAAACTGTTTTTCATTTTTTTTTAATTTAGAGAAGATGACGTGGCATAGTTAGGATTAATTAAACATGTAAAATGGGTTAAAATGAAAAGATTAAAACATATGTGGGTTGAATCAGAAATAATGAAAGTTTATAAAATTTGAAATTTCTCAAAACAAGCCCCACTATTCACCTCGCTTAATCGAAATTCATTAGGGCAAAAAGCGATATCTTGAACCAAAGGGAGACGCGATTTTTTCCAATCGAACACCTACAAATTTACACCCTAAATCAATTTCTTGAAGCCTAAACTGAATATAGTTGCGATTTCCGATCGATTTGTTGAACCCTAAAATCGATTTCCTTAATCCTAAACAGAATCTGTGCGATTTCCGGCGATACAACCTACATTTCTGATCGAAACTACAAACTTTGACACCAAATTCAATCCAAAACCATGGTTGACACTCACAATGAGGAGGAAAACCTAACACCACTTCGAATCCTAGATTCCGGTGGTGCAAGCAGTTCAATGGCTGCTCCGATGGATCATCCGATCAGTGAAGGTGGTACACACGCAGAGGAGACGCCGACAGCACAAGAACAGAGGGAAAAACTGACAAACGGTTCTGAAGACGAGGAGTCAGGTGAGAATTCAGGCCAGGAGGAGTCGTCCGAGGATTCAGGCGACGAGGAGGAGGCCAGCGAAGAAAGGGTACGTTGTTTGGGAATATTGTTTGTTTTGTCGCTTAAGCGATCAGTTGTATCGCTTAAGCGATTAATCTGTTATACTCATGATCGCTTAAGCGATCTTGTTGAGGCAGAATCACATATAATAAACGATTTTTGTATCGCTTAAGAGATTCTCAGTTTACTCTTGGTTGCTTAAGCGATTTCAGATCGCTTAAGCGATCTTGCACGAGGCAGAGTAAGATCTCTTAAGCGATTCGAAATTGCTTAAGCGACTACAGTGGTAATTTTTTGTTGCTGATATTTTGTTTATTAGTTGTTTTGGTTTATTTTTGTTGCTGACATTTTGTTTATATCGATTGTGCAGATTGTGCGGACCGTAAACTGTAGAGTCTACGAGTTGGAGCCTATAAGTGAGAAGGGACCCTACTTCCCTGCAAGGGTGATGGTGAGGTCGAGTTGAGATGTTTTGACAAAATAAGGGTCATTTTAGCTGGAATGAGGCGTGGTGAAAGAGATTTCGGTTGCACTTGTTTCGATCAGTTTTTAAGAATGGGAACAAATTGGAAAAAGGCATTTTGGAGGCAGAGAGTGCATTACATGTTGATGCACTCAGTTAAAATGCAACAAAAAAAATGAAATGTGGTTTGTGGTGGACGGAAAGCCACTACGGTTTGGGATGATGGAGTATGCCTTGGTGACAGGCTTAGGATGCGGGGAAGTGCCAAATAAGGCGGAGGCAAACGCAATAAGGACGAGTTCGGGAGCCATAAGGTTTCGTAAGAAGGTTTTGCATGGGGCAAAGTCTATTACAAGACACGTTTTGGAGGAGAGCCTACAAACAGTTCGGTTTAATGATGGAGAGAAGATAAAAGTGTGCTTGCTATTGTTTTTACATTCTATCTTATTGGCTGCTGACTCAACAAAAGCTGTTGAGAAAGATTGGTTGTTGTTTGCAAGCGACTTGGAGTTGTTTAATTCTTATCCGCGGGGACAGATATCATTTGAGCGAACCATCAAGAGCCTGAAAAAACCAGGCATGGCGTTAAAGCATGTCGAATGGGGCGGGAAGGCTAAACCAAGCACGTATAATTTGTTTGGCTTCCCATGGGCCATGCAGGTAAATATTAATAACTCTCTGTTATATTTTTAATAATATATGTGTTTGAATTATGATATGGATTGTTTTTTTACAATGTAGGCTTGGATGTACGAGGTCATCCCTGTCTTCACTAAGGCGGGGGGGAGGAGTAACAGTTTGGATGTGCAACAACAATTTCCTAGGATGTTGCGATGGCATGTCCGGAAGTGTAACCATTCAGATTACGGCAAATAGAGATTGAGATTCAAGCGGCTAATGTAAGATTAAAGGATTAAGTTTTTGAATATGCAGTTGCTTTTTGATTTTGCTTCAATTTGATTGATTTTGTTTCTTATTGCAGGGAGTCGTCCGTCCCTTTCTTACCGCTATTGGGGATGAAGCGGAAGAGGATTATGTCACATCTTTCAAAGCAATGGATGATGGAAGGGATGAACGGATAGACTGCCTGATGCGGACCTGAAAGGGGTCACGCATGTGATGGCAGTTGCAGGGCCATTGCTTGACAACGTCGTTGATGTCGAGGAGGATTATGAAGCTCCAATGGGCAGAAGGCCCGAGGATGAGGAGGAGAAGAGGGAGGAAAAGGTTCATATGCCTCAGCAAACCGGTACAACAAGTACCGCTTTGTCGACACATCAGCGTCGGGAGAATGAGGTTGTTGACCTCATAAACGGCCTGTTTGAGAGTTTTACAACAGCCGTTTATGCAAGGTTTGACAAGATGGAAGAGTGTATGAAAAGGGTGGAGGAGAAAGTGGATAAGCTAGGAGAGAAAGTTGGTACAGTGGAGAAGGAAGTTGGTATAATGGAGGAGGAAGTTGTTGGAGAATTAAAGGCGGTTGAAGTGCAAACTGGCTTGAAAAGAGAGAGCTGAAAGAGCAAGTTTGTGAAATCGCCTTACATGGTAGTGACACAGGTAAAGAAAAAGAAAATTAAGAAACAAATGGAGGAAGAACCAGAAATGGAGGAGGTTGAGGAGGTTGGTGGAGGAAGTGTGATGCGTGTTTCCTACAACATGCAAATGTAGCAAGTATACTAATCGCACAAGTAATATATTGATGAGTAGAGTATCGTTCCCATGAGGATTGTAAGCAAAGCACTGAGTTTCCTAATGTTGTCTAGTTGAAGCAATCGAATTCTTTGGATTGGTGGGAGCAAATTTTAATTTAAAAACAACAAAATGAAATTTAACTAAGGTTAAAACTTAATTAAGAAAGCAATATGAAAACACGGAATATCAATTCAAGTAAAACGGGTAGGGTTTTGACTTCATTTGGATTTTTATGGGTTAAGCCTATAATTACACTAAACTCATATTCATACGCAATGGTTGTAAATCGAACTCACTAACATGTAGACATACCCTCTCGGGCTATGCCTTCCTATTCTTCCTTATTAACCTTCCGCACCCAACAAATTGAAGATTAATAATTCCAAACTCATTAAGCACAAGAATCCTATAATGATTTCATTAATTCTTGAATCTATCTCTAGCATCCAATACTATAATGGTGATTACCCAAGAAGCCTAACATGATTCATTTCTCAATCTCACCATGTTCATCACATACAACATTAAAAATCAGAGTAACACACAACCAAAGCATACTCATATGAAAATAACACAATCAAACCCTAAACCCATTTAAAATCCAAACTACCATCAAAACCCTAACCCAAAAGAGATTAGTTCATAACTAAATCAACAATACAAAAACGAAAATCAGAAATAAACATGTTCAACATAATGAAAACGAGAATAAAGATTAGAAATCTCCCCAAAAGATGAATCCTCTAGTTGGAAATCGAATCTTCTTCCTTTTACAACCCAAATCGCTCAAAGTTCTTAGAAAAATGAAAAAGTGGCTAAACCTAAAATAAAAATGAAGATCCTGGGCAAAAAGACTAAGTTTTTCTTTTATACTTCGTCCAAATAACCCAGCCAAAACACGCACAGCACGAAACTGTGCGTTTAACAAAACTGGAATAAGTGACTATCGCCGTGGCGAAGAATGAAGCAGATAAGCTCGTCCCTGGCTTACTTCGCCGCGGCGAAGACATTTCCTTCGTCGGGGCGAAGCTTCTTCCTGAGTTCTGAAATTACAGAACTGCCACTCCGCTTACTTCTTCATTTGATTCTTCGATTCTCGGTGCTCTTCCTTGGAAACAAGCTTCATCGTGCTTTATCCTGCTCCGGAACTCTCCTATCTTCCGAGATCCGCTAATTTCTGAGTCAAAAATATCCAATTTTGTTCTTATTTGCTCAAAATGACCATTTTAACCTGAAGTACGAAAATTAACGAATTAAGGAACAATTCAGGTAAAAATGCACTAGAAAGTACCTGAAATCCGACAAAAAGGTATAGTGAAAAGCGTATAATTCACGGATTATCAAAGTGGGGCGATGATAATGGAGGAGGGCGAGGTGAGAGGCGAAGGAAGCGGGGATGTAAAAATGGAGGAAGGGGGAGGAAGCGGGCAAGGGAAATTTGACTCAAATGTCGATTTGTATAGGCCAATAGAGGAAAAGAAAAAAACTCTTCTATGCCTATTACAATGGATCAGGAAGTAATGGCTATATAAAGTGTACGACAGGGGATTATCCCCGGGAATGGTTTAGGAAGTTGTTGACGATGGGCACGTGGCTTGAGGACTCGATGAGTTATTTTCGCTTAATTTTCCTTATTTTTGCCTATGTTTTCCATACTTATCTTGTTGTTTTTATTTGATGCAACACATTGATGAGATATTGGCACTGATAAGGCTACGACAGACTATTAATGGTGATCTGTTGTATCCCGACTGTGCCATCACCGATGTGGCGTTTGGCCAAACGCTTGTTTCGGCATATCGCACTTTAATTAAAAATGTCGTTGCTAGTGGTGCAGCAAAAGGACCGAAGCGAAAAAGATTGGCCCCAGTACAGTTGGACTGCATCCCTGATGATTTTCATTTTGATGATAGAATTATGCAGTATATACAGGGGGATCGGCCCAAATTTGGCCACGGTTGGACCTTTGTTAAAAGAGTGTACTGCATCATCCTCGTCAAACATATGCACTGGATAGCAGTCGTTGCGCATCTAGAGGAGGGGTTGCTGAAGATCCTTGACTGCAACCCCACTATTTGTCGAGACAAGCAGTTGGAGGTCGAGTTGGAGCCATTGTCCAGTTTGTTCTCGCGGCTGTTGCATGACAGCGGGATGTTTGGGCACTTGGGTGATCAAGTACTAACCGAAAAGTGGCCAATTAAGTGCTCTACCGACCCAATAAATGAGTCAAGGTAACTTTTGTATAAAACTAACTTACATAATACAATTGTTCTATAAGTTTATTCTGATGCTAATGTCTTCTTCCTATTATAGTGCTGAATGTAGGGCATATGCCCTAAAATTTATTGAGTTCGACATGACCAACACCCCGATGGATGAGTTGAATGACGAAACAATGAGAGACTGTCGGGAGCGCTGGGCTATTGACTGCTTCCATGGGCAGATGAGTAAGCAGAACCCAATAAAAAGGTATGAAAGTTGGACTTTGAATTTTGTACTTTATGTGATGTTGATGTTGATACTTGGGTTGTGGTGCTGATGCTGCAGGTGTCATGCTTATATGGAGCTTTACCGAAAGACACGGACTGAGTGAACTTTTCACCTACCCACTCTGTAACTTTTTTACATGTTTTTTTTTTATTTACAAAAGTTGACGTGTCTGTAGGTTCCTGGCAAACAATGAGAGGAAACTTCTCAAAGGCTGGTTGGCAAGAGGAGAGGAGGCATCTGCAATAAAGGATGTTGGGAAGGCATGGTACAAAACAATGATCTCAGAGAGGTTATTGGCAAACAGAATTCGAAAACTTCTCAAACCTCTCAAAGGCTGGTTGGCAGGATGAGGCATCTGCAATAAAGGGATTGTGCAAAGGTGTTAGTGACATTAAACTCTTTGGCAGTGTATAGGAAATTCTTGTGTTGTGGCTCTTCTTACGGCAGCCAAAAGCCTTGTGCCTACAGAATCATTGTAAAGAATTGGATCTGATATTTGGGAGATATTATTTTTTGTCCATATAAGATATCTCATTAGCAGTTTGAATTTACTATATATGATGTGATCATTTGCTTCACCCAAGTTGGATAATGGTTTTTTAGCGTTTTGTTTCATTTTGTGTATCACTACAACATGTGATACACTGGTGTGATTATTTGATTCACCACAGTTGAGGCTAATGGTTAGCTTGTCCATATATTTCGATATTTGCCGCATCCCATGCCTATTTTTTATTTTGTGTTTCGATTACATTGATGTCTCTTATATTTTGATTTGTGATAAATTAGATTGATACAAATTCTTTTCGGATTTGGGAGGGAAATGAGTGATGTACAAATGTTTCCCAAATGACGAGCTCGTTTAGCTAAAGTTGAGCTCGTTTAGCTCAGATTGAGCTCGTTTTGCTCTCAAGTTGAGCTCGTTTAGCTCAGATTGAGCTCGTTTTGATCTCAGATTGAGTTCATTTAGCTCAGATTGAGTTCGTTTAGCTCAGATTGAGCTTGTTTTGCTCAAATTGAGCTCGTTTTGCTCAGATTGAGCTTGTTTTGCTCTCAAGTTGAGCTCGTTTTGCTCAAATTGAGTTCGTTATGATCTCAGATTGAGTTCGTTTTGCTCAGATTGAGCTCATTTTGCTCTCAAGTTGAGCTCATTTTGCACAGATTGAGTTTATTATGATCTCAGATTGAGTTTGTTTACAAGACTTTTCTAGATATGATCGCTTAAGCGACCAAGAGTCTATTACAAAGCATCGCTTAAGCGATACATCAGATCACTTAAGTGATTACCCATTTGGGAAGATGTTTATTCTGCCTTGACAAAGATCGCTTAAACGATCCTAAATCGCTTAAGCGACAGAGATCTGGGCAGATTCATTTTGCCTTGGCCAAGATCGCTTAAGCGATCAAGAGTCTTTTATGAAAATCGCTTAAGCGATACAAATGGATAGCTTAAACGATTTTCGATCTGGGCATCTACAGCGAGCTAGATCGCTTAAGCGATTGTCGATCGCTTAAGCAACTAGGAGTAAAAGTAAAGAATCACTTAAGCGATACAGACGAATCTCTTAACTGACTGTGTAAATACAGAGGATTGCTTAAGTGTTCCTATGTATTCAGATATTATTTATTGTATTTCAGAGCATCGGTTTAGCGATTAACGCTATGCTAAACATATAGGGTTAACAATTCGTTCAGTGGACTATGACCGTTATTATATTTATATTAAACACATAGTTCTTTTAGGTCAGTATGAAACATATAAGGTGTAGAATGTTTACGTCTATGCTAAACATATGGGGTTTACGATTCGTTCAGTGGACAATGACCATTATTATATTTATATTAAAAATATAGTTCTTTTAGGTCAGTATGAAACATATAAGGTGTAGAATGTTTACGTCTATGCTAAACATATGGGGTTTACGATTCGTTCAGTAGACCATGACTGTTATTATATTTATATTACACATATAGTTCTTTTATGTCAATATGAAACATATAAGGTGTAGAATGTTTACGTCTATGCTAAACATATGGGGTTTACGATTCGTTCAGTGGACCATGACCGTTATTATATTTATATTAAATATATAGTTCTTTTAGGTCAGTATGAA